CAATAGATAATGTCGGAAATGTAATATAATTCACAATAAGTGTTAAATTACTTTTACCAAGCTATTAAATGGTACCCGTAATATCATGTATAAAAAATGCCAAGATACCAGGGGTCTCAAAGATATCAGTTAAGCGATATTGTTTTTCACTGACGGTATGCCTATAAAAATGACGCTGGTCCAATTTTCGTTTATTTTATAGAATTTTTGCGTATGTAATTTACTGTTTGCGACTTATGCGATTTTGATGAAAAAGTAAATTCCCCATACATGCTCCTCCTCACTACATTCATGTCATGGGTTTTTGACTAGTGGTGCTAAAACAGCACGTACTGTCTCACCCGTAGTTTCACGCACAATTACGCGAAAAGTACATTTTCGACAAATTGTACATGACCTTATTTCAATATCTATCTTTTAGCAACAGATTTCATTAGGGGAAAACATATCTATCTTCACAACTGTAGTTGTAGGAAGTCGCTGAAAAACTAGAGAATTGAAAATGAGACCTACACCATCCTCTTTAAACGTCCTTTACACTACCCAACAGTTGTTCACAGAGGGACAGACGGTTTTTTAAAGTCTAGAGTTGCGCCAGATTGATCGGGGAATATCCATTTTGGAAGAAAGCGTACTCATGATTTCGGCACTAGTGTTGTTGACAGACGCATGAACGTTTTGCCGTCATTCGATTTTTCGGTATAAAGGACCCACAAAGCAAGGATTCTGGCTACAGCACATGTTAGAGGAGTTTCTTTCTAAATATAGCAATTGTTTTTTGTTTTTTTTTCCCACTTTTCCGTTACCCGGGCTCAGAAATAAGAGTTTTTTCCTTGCGAAAATTCTCCGCTCTTTCGCGTAGCCTTACATAACTTTCTACTGCGTAAGCAATAACAATGAAGTAAAAATCTATATCTCTCTAAGACGGTATAGCGTTTAAAATAAAGGAATAGAGCAGGCGATGACCTGTCGAGCAATGAAACGTCACCTCCTGACGCCCTTCGGGCTGTGAATCCCCAGGCGTTGGCTTCCGGCAACCAGAAAACGCGCGAACGCTAATGACGCTATCCTGTGGTCTTGATCTAATCCGCCGGTCGGTGACCTACTTCCGGCGTGGGCCTAGAATCCACGACAATGGGCTGCCGGCGGCTCCCTCTGATGTCTCAGCAGGGCGTCTCCACTGCGGTGTAGAGCGGACGCATACTGTTCCCAGTGGGTGTATGGGGTGACTCGGCGTGCGGGATCATGTAGGAAAGCAAGTTTTTGCAAATGCAAACTCAAATCCTGTAGGAAATTCCATTCTAATCAGATCCTATATTCTCACGGCTATGGAACTAAGCAACATATACAATGCAGACCGCTGTGCTTTTGCAGTACCATAACATCGGAGATGGACGTATTGACAAATTTCCAGAGCTCGAGTATTAGATAACAATATGTTCCTATACATTATACAATTCATATATACAATATACAACAATACATCACGTATTCCTAGTGTGTAAAGTGTGCCCTTGGGAAAAAGATACGCATAAATAGTATTTTAAAATTACACAATGCGATCGGAGAATTGTAGCGCAGCTCGTTTAGCACTGGGTAATCTGAAGATAACTTAATGTTTCTCTAAAACCTATTACAAGAGTTATCAGTTACGTTTTGAAAATATCGGACAAATATGTCATTCCACCTACTTGATCAGATCAGCATACGTATCCAATTTGTAACAGTTTGACAGTGTAGCTAAAACAGTCGCATAGTAACTGGTGCTACAACAGAACATATTTTTATGTATGAATGTTATTCTCTTGAATCGGGGCTAGGTTTATGGTTTCGCTCCATCCTCTTTCCAGCTGCCACCCATTGGCGCCTGAAACACCTACAACGTCATCTCGCGACCCCTATTGATTCTCTGAGGACATTCCCTTTGGAAAGCACCATCGTGCTCCCAGAATACCGCGCACGTCTACCGTATGTACCTTTATACTCGTATACTAGTATTCCTTGGCCTCATCAAGGTACCTTTGTTCTCGGTGCAGAGATCTACTTCCTCAATTACACAGTTACCTGTCAGGCCAACAGATTGTTCTCTTGATTTTTTTGATTTTTTTTTAGAATGTGGTGTGGGCGGCGTGAGACGGCAACTGATAAGAGGGGCAAGACCGAAAAGCTAGGCGAGACCAAATAAATAGGAAAACTAACTAGTACGAGAAAGTCTGCAGCGCCGATAGTTTAAAACACATTTCAGTTAGCAAACAATCTCTATTATCAATAGTGTACTTTTTCTATGTTAATTTTTTGTTGTTTGTAATTTTCGAAAATTGACATCAAAGTGGCATTTTCTTTGGTCTGGACTAGCTTTTCGGTTTTGCCCTACCCTCTTTAGCAGCCATCTATCGCCGCACAAATTAAATTTTAAAAATTTTCTCAACTTTTTGGTCCCCTAACGGTAGAACTAAAATGTCTTTAAGAATATTGTAGAACACTAATATGTTAACTTTCGTTAAATAATTTGAAGCTGTTTTTTGAGAAAATGTCTTTTCACCGTCTCTATAAATGCGAAATTTGAAGCTCTTATTCAGTTTTCGAGAAACTTGAAATAATTCCAAGAAGTTCTACGTACAAATGCAATAGTGTATTCAAATCGCTGATAATGTAAATATTAACCGCGAAAAATATATTTAAATCTAGTGGAGAATCAGCACAAGTTTCTCGCAATTTTTCTGAATTTGCAAGTTTCTAAAATTAGACCCGCATCATTCTTTCAAACGCCCGTTCTTCTATACGTGAAAAAAGTTTGAAGAAAACAATTTGGAGTATTTTTGAGAATTTGTTTTATAAATTGCATTAATGTCAAGCTCAAATTACGCGAAAACTACTAGTTTTTTTCAAAAAACTCTTCATGAACTTTTTTAAAAAGCTGATTTTTAGGAACATGTTTTGCCTGAGGTAAAAATCTCTATTTTTAATTTTGTAGTTTTGAAACGTTAACTTTTTGCAATTTTCGAAAAAACAGAATTCGTCGAAAATGGGACTATTGCACCGTATATTTACCATCGCTTAATTCATACGAGGAGCAATTTTAAAAAAAATTGGTACCGATTTAGAGAAAAAAATGTTTTAAAAAGTTTAAAATGGCCTATATTTTCCGCAAAATTTGGCGAAAACTCATATTTTCAAAACATTGTTCATGACCTTATTTCAAGATGCCTCTAAGGAACAGATTTCATTCAGGAAAAAAATATGTTTCCTTCAATATTTATCGTTATAGGAAGAAGCCAAAAAAACATTTTGTAATTTTCGTAAACTCTTAAATATTAACCAACATGGAAACCACCACCATTCTCTAAATCTTCCTTTAGGCTATCCGAGGATTACGTTTAATCAACAAATTTGGAGCGTTTTTGAGAAAATTATGAAAATGTTTCTGAAGTTTCATGAAAACTACCCTCAACAATCAAAATATCCTGTTGAAAATCCCAAAGCCTCGAGTTCATTCAGATCGATCAGGGAATATCATCTTTGGAAAAAATCGGCTGAACAGTTTTGTTATTAGCACGTTTTGCCGTCAATCGATTTTTCGGTGTCCGGTTTCGGTGGACCCACAAAACGTGGATTTTGGGATTTCTTTTTCTAAATTTAACAACTGGATGTATTCACCTTTTCCTAATCAGGGTCCATCAATAAGTGATTTTCTGCGGAAAATTCGCAGTTTCTTCTCGCGGCGTTACATAACTCTCTCTACTGCGTAAGCGGTAGCGAGAAAGTAAAAATGTACCGGGTATAACCTTCCATACGTAAGTATTGTTTGGGATTTGTTTTGCTAATTATTTTAAAATAAGCAATTTACATTAAAGTAATGTTTTCTTTCAGCTTTCCAAAGGCTTCGGAATGATGTGGGAAATGGGTTGCGGCTGTGAGAATGCCTGTGCTATGACTTCCTTTGAAATTGATTTGTTTATTAGAACGTAGTGGTGAAAACCATGAGATGTGTTATGGTATTCTTAAACGAAATAAATGATTAATTAGGTTTTGCACAATCTTAGTTCTAATCCCTTGAGTTATTCAAATATTTTTACTTGAGATTTGGACTTTCTCATTTTAAGAAACAAGCACATAGGTTTTAAAATATTTTGAAATTAAATAAATTTTATTTGTCTTTTTCATGATCAGCAGTTCACACATGTCCATGTAGTTGATTATATCTATGCATCACCAGACACTAATTTAAATGTCCTACAATATTGTTTTATACTGTATGAGCAGTGAAAGTAATTTTAAAAGTTTATAAACTTTTAACATATAAAATTAACAAATAAACAACAACACTATCACCAACCTTCACTAACACAATTTCAACATTAAACTTTCAATAATTAACAAACTAATTGTTGAAATGAAATTTCATTTGCAGAGAAATTCTCTATCTTCAATAATGTAATTCTTTGAGAGGGTTCAAAAATTTGAAAGTTTGCAATTTCTAAAAGTTCAGTGGTAGCAATGAAAATCAAATTTATGCCTCATTTCTGAGTTTTTGACTATATTCTTATATGAAATTTGAAGAAAAGATTGCCAACAATTTTTAAGGAGCTTCATGTGAAGTACCCCAAAATTTCAAAAATATTTTTAAATTGCAGGGCTTTGGTCAATTGGACCAGATAAATCATTCAATATTCATTTTGGAAAAAACTGAACACAGATATATCAGAAAATAAATATTTTTTAATTTCAACATAGCCTTTTGTTTATAACCTAGGGGCTGAAAAATTGAAAGTTTTCATAAATATGTTTTTAAAATAAAGTGATAACTTTCACTACTTAAATTTGTATGCATTGGTATACACCTTTGCAGCTCAATAATTCAATTTTGAATTACATATACCAAAGAGAAGTTAATCCCACAAACAATTAATTTAAACATTATGTTATATTGAAAATGTGAAATTCAGTGTTTATTATTATCAGTAAATTAATTTGTGATGTTAGCCAAAACAATTTCTTACCTTCACTGGATGTCCTATCATTCCGACAGATTTGTATGGATTTCCATCAAGAGGCAGCATTTGGATGCCAATGTGTTTTTCACAAGCATACACCATGCATTGGGACTTCTCCTGTCTTTTTGGAAGGATCTGTAAAATTGTAAGGAAAAAGTTCCATAATTCACTAAAAGTAAAAGATGATAGGGAGGAGAAAAAGAAGCAGCAGAAACAGCAGAAGCAGGATGAAGATGTGGGAGAAGGAGAAGAAGGAGAAGAAGGAGAAGAAGGAGAAGAAGGAGAAGAAGGAGAAGAAGGAGGAGAAACAAAGAGAGAGATAATACGCTTATCCTGTGGTCTTGATCTAATCCGCCGGTCGGTGACCTACTTCCGGCGTGGGCCTAGAATCCACGACAATGGGCTGCCGGCGGCTCCCTCTGATGTCTCAGCGGGGCGTCTCCACTGCGGTGTAGAGCGGACGCATACTGTTCCAGTGGTGTATGGGGTGACTCGGCGTGCGGGATCATTAGGAAAGCAAGTTTTTTTGCAAATGCAATCTCAAATTCTGTAGGAAATTCATTCTCTAATCAGATCCTATATTCCCACGCCGCTATGGAACTAAGCAACATATACAATGCAGAGCGCTGTGTGCTTTTGCAGTACCATCACATCGGAGATGGACGTATTGACAAATTTCCAGAGCTCCGAGTATTAGATAACAATATGCTATCTATACATTATACAATTCATATATACAATATACAACAATAAATCACAGTATTCCTAAGTGTGTACAGTGTGCCCTTGGGAAAAAGATACGCATCAAATAGTATTTTAAAATTTACACAATGCGATCGGAGAATTGTAGCCGAGCTCGTTTAGCACTGGGTATTGAAGATAACTTAATGTTTCTCTAAAACCTATTACAAGAGTTATCAGTTACGTTTTGTAAAATATCGGAACAAATATGTCATTCCCCTACTTGATCAGATCAGCATACGTATCCAATTTGTAACAGTTTGACAGTGTAGCTAAAACAGTCGCATAGTAACTGGTGCTACAACAGAACATATTTTTATGTATGAATGTTATTCTCTTGAATCGGGGCTAGGTTTATGGTTTCGCTCCCATCCTCTTTCCAGCTGCCACCCATTGGCGCCTGAAACACCTACAACGTCATCTAGCGACCCCTATTGATTCTCTGAGGACATTCCTTTGGAAGGCACCATCGTGCTCCCAGAATACCGCGTACGTCTACCGTATGTACCTTTATACTCGTATACTAGTATTCCTTGGCCTCATCAAGGTACCTTTTTGTTCTCGGTGCAGAGATCTATTTCCTCAATTACACAGTTACCTGTCAGGCCAAAGATTGTTCTCTTGATTTTTTTTGATTTTTTTTTTTATTTTTTTAGAATGTGGTGTGGGCGGCGTGAGACGGCAACTGATAAGAGGGGCAAGACCGAAAAGCTAGGCGAGACCAAATATAAATAGGAAAACTAACTAGTACGAGAAAGTCTGCAGCGCCGATAGTTTAAAACACATTTCAGTTAGCAAACAATCTCTATTATCAATAGTGTACTTTTTTCTATGTTAATTTTTTGTTGTTTTTTAATTTTCGAAAATTGACATCAAAGTGGATTTTCTTTGGTCTGGACTAGCTTTTCGGTTTTTGCCCTACCCTCTTTAGCAGCCATCTATCGCCGCCCAAATTAAATTTTAAAAAATTTTTCTCAACTTTTTTGGTCCCTAACGGTAGAACTAAAATGTCTTTAAGAATATTGTAGAACACTAATATGTTAACTTTCGTTAAATAATTTAAAGCTGTTTTTTGAGAAAATGTCTTTTCACCGTCTCTATAATGCGAAATTTGAAGCTCTTATTCAGTTTTCGAGAAACTTGAAATAATTCCAAGAAGTCTACGTAATAATCAATAGTGTATTCAAATCGCTGATAATGTAAATATTAACCGCGAAAAATATATTTAAATCTAGTGGAGAATCAGCACAAGTTTCTTCGGCAATTTTTCTGAATTTGCAGTTTCTAAAATTAGACCGCATCATTCTTTCAAACGCCCGTTCTTCTATCGTGAAAAAAGTTGAAAGAAAACAATTTGGAGTAATTTTTGAGAATTTGTTTTATAAATTGCATTAATGTCAAGCTCAAATTACGCGAAAAACGACTAGTTTTTTTCAAAAAACTCTTCATGAACTTTTTTAAAAAGCTGATTTTTAGAACATGTTTTGGCCTGAGGTAAAAATCTCTATTTTTAATTTTGTAGTTTTGAAACGTTAACTTTTTGCAATTTTCGAAAAAACAGATTCGTCCGAAAATGGGACTATTGCAACCGTATATTTACCATCGCTTAATTCATAGGAGGATCAATTTTAAATAAAATTGGTACGATTTAGAGAAAAAAATGTTTTAAAAAGTTTAAAATGGCCTATATTTTCCGCAAAATTTGGCGAAAACTCATATTTTTTCAAACATTGTTTTCATGACCTTATTTCAAGATGCCTCTAAGGAACAGATTTCATTCAGGAAAAAAATATGTTTCCTTCAATATTTATCGTTTATAGGAAGAAGCCAAAAAACATTTTGTTAATTTTTCGTAAACTCTTAAATATTAACCAAACATGGAAACCACCACCATTCTCTAAATCTTCCTTTAGGCTATCCGAGGATTACGTTTAATCAACAAATTTGGAGCGTTTTTTGAGAAATTATGAAAATGTTTTCTGAAGTTTCATGAAAACTACCCTCACAATCAAAATATCCTGTTTGAAAATCCCAAAGCCTCGAGTTCATATTCAGATCGTCAGGGAATATGCATCTTTGGAAAAAATCGGCTGAACAGTTTTGTTATTAGCACAGTTTTGCCCGTCAATCGATTTTTCGGTGTCCGGTTCGGTGGACCCACAAAACGTGGATTTTGGGATTTCTTTTTTCTAAATTTAACAACTGGATGTATTCACCTTTTCCTAATCAGGGTCCATCAATAAGTGATTTTCTGCGGAAAATTCGCAGTTTTCTTCTCGCGGCGTTACATAACTCTCTCTACTGGCGTAAGCGGTAGCGAGAAAGTAAAAATGTACCGGGTATAACCTTCCATACGTAAGTATTGTTTGGGATTTGTTTTTGCTAATTATTTTAAAATAAGCAATTTACATTAAAGTAATGTTTTCTTTCAGCTTTCCAAAGGCTTCGGAATGATGTGGGAAGGGTTGCGGCTGTGAGAATGCCTGTGCTATGAACTTCCTTTGAAATTGATTTGTTTATTAGAAAGTAGTGGTGAAAACCATGAGATGTGTTATGGTATTCTTAAACGAAATAAATGATTAATTAGGTTTTGCAACAATCTTAGTTCTAATCCCTTGAGTTTATTCAAATATTTTTACTTGAGATTTGGACTTTCTCATTTTAAGAAACAAGCACAATAGGTTTTAAAATATTTTGAAAATTAAAATAAATTTTATTTGTCTTTTTCATGATCAGGCAGTTACACATGTCCATGTAGTTGATTATATCTATGCATCACCAGACACTAATTAAATGTCCTACAATATTTGTTTTATACTTAATGAGCAGTGAAAGTAATTTTAAAAGTTTATAAACTTTTAACATATTAAAATTAACAAATAAACAACAACAACTTCACCAACCTTCACTAACACATATTTCAACATTAAACTTTCAATAATAAAAAAACTAATTGTTGAAATGAAATTTCATTTGCAGAGAAATTCTCTATCTTCAATAATGTAATTCTTGTGAGAGGGTTCAAAAATTTTGAAAGTTTTGCAATTTCTAAAAGTTCAGTGGTAGCAATGAAAATCAAATTTATGCTCATTTCTGAGTTTTTGACTATATTCTTATATGAAATTTGAAGAAAAGATTGCCAACAATTTTAAAGGAGCTTTACATGTGAAGTACCCCAAAATTTCAAAAATATTTTTTAAATCGCAGGGCTTTGGTCAATTGGACCAGATAAATCATTCAATATTCATTTTGGAAAAAACTGGAACACAGATATATCAGAAAATAAATATTTTTTAATTTCAACTAGCCTTTTGTTTATAACCTAGGGGCTGAAAATTGAAAGTTTTCATAAATATTTTTTAAAATAAAGTGATAACTTTCACTACTTAAATTTGTATGCATTGGTATACACCTTTGCAGCTCAAATAATTCAATTTTTGAATTACATATACCAAAGAAAAGTTAATCCCACAAACAATTAATTTAAAACATTATGTTTATTGAAAATGTGAAATTCAGTGTTATTATTATCAGTAAATTAATTTGTGATGTTAGCCCAAACAATTTCTTACCTTCACTGGATGTCCTATCATTCCGACAGATTTGTATGGATTTCCATCAAGAGGCAGCATTTGGATGCCCAATGTGTTTTTTCACAAGCATACACCATGCATTGGGACTTCTCTCTGTCTTTTTGGAAGGATCTGTAAAATTGTAAGGAAAAAGTTCCATAATTCACTAAAAGTAAAAGATGATAGGGAGGAGAAAAAGAAGCAGCAGAAACAGCAGAAGCAGGATGAAGATGTGGGAGAAGGAGAAGGAGAAGAAGGAGAAGGAGAAGGAGGAGAAGGAGGAGAAGGAGGAGAAGGAGGAGAAGGAGAAGAAGGAGGAGAAGGAGGAGAAGGAGGAGAAGGAGGAGAAGGAGGAGAAGGAGGAGAAGGAGGAGAAGGAGGAGAAGGGAGGAGAAGGAGGAGAAGGAGGAGAAGGAGGGAGAAGGAGGAGAGGAGGAGAAGGAGGAGAAGGAGGAGAAGGAGAAGAAGAAGGAGAAGGAGAAGGAGAAGGAGAAGAGAGGAGAAGGAGAAGGAGAAGGAGAAGGAGAAGGAGAAGGAGAAGGAGAAGAGAAGAAGAGAGAAGAAGAAGAAGAAGAAGAAGAAGAAGAAGAAGAAGAAG